AAAAAAAAAAAAAGAACAAGGCTGAAAAGCTTAAGAAAGCGGAGCTGCCCTATTGAGAATCGCCAGTTTACTCCAATAGTTGTCAACTCTGGCTGTTCGTCTGTAAACCTCCAAAGGACTTTCAGATGTACTGTTGCTTGGGCCACACCCTCAGACATTCTGACTTAATGGATCTGGGAAGGGTCCCGAATATCAGTATTTTTCAAATGTTCTCAAATCATGCTACTGTACACCTGGGGCGAGAACCCTTAATTTTGCCCTATGGTCTGTGGACTTGATATCAACTGCTTCCTTTTCAAAACCCATTTTTCTTCTGTAATCTATTTTTTAAAAATCACGCAATTACTTTTTCTTTCCCCAGTGTATTTTTTTCCTCTTACTTAGAATCTCCCCTAAAGATTCAGAACAATAAAGCTTTTTAGGGATATTTAAAAAATGAAAACCTTGAGAAGTAATGCTTTCTAATTTTAACGTATGCACACGTATGTGGACAATCCAGATACTTTATTATTGCTCTTTGTATGGCTACCACCCTGTGCCTACGCTCCACCTTCCAGAACACTGCCAACATCTTCAGAGACCTCAGAGGCCTCTCTGTTCCCCTCTTGTTTTCTGTCAGTTTTCGTCCCAGCTACCAAGGTTCATTAACTTAAAAACTTTGAGCCATAGATATTTTCTAGCTTTCCTGAAACCATTAATTCTGTTAATTGCTATTAATTCTGTGTCATTTTACTCATCATCATGCCAGCCAGTCTGGCTTGTTTATGGGATTTACCAAAATATATATTTATATATATATATTTGTACTTATATATTATATATATTATGTATATAACAATAGAAACAAAACTCAAATCATCTAAACTTTGAAGTTTTCCAAGAATAATTATTCAAACTTTCTGTGTTGTAGTTCCTGTAGAATCTGACATTTAAGAGTATCCACTGTGTAAAATAGTGAGTCGTTTTTGTTGGTAGGAGAATTGGAAAGAAGAAGAGGAGCATTAATTCTGAATTTATCAGCATTCTTAATGATCCTCTCTTGGATTTTTTTTTTTAAGAGTACAAGCTCTCCTATTTCAGATGGCAGATCAATAATAGCTTTTTGCCTCCCATAAATTACCAATATATATATTTTTTGATACCCCCTTACTATGAACTGTGTTTTAAAGTCCACTGAGTTGGAAAAGTTGTCTAATGCTTCAAAAACACAGTGCTGATTTTTTTTTTTT